GTGCGGTAGACAATATCAATGGTTCTTCCTGGGTTTAAGCGATTATATAACTTCGTTTCAATCAAACGGTACTAAATATTTATTCTCAAATAACTTAAAATGAAAAAAAACTGGTATACAATATGCAATTAATATATCAATTACAAACATTAATCTATATTGTTGTCCTCTATGTATAATTATTATCATTACTGTTTGTGTTCATGTAAATAGCTAAGCATCACAGTGACCTGTGTCTTGATATGTTTTCATAATTATTTAATTTGCTCATGTTTTTTTTTTTTCTTTTTGTAAATTATGCAAATTGAATGTTATTGCAAAAATAAATTGAAATTGTTCATACAATTGTTAAGTTACCTTTGTTTTATACACTTGAATGTAAATGTTTTTCTCACATATCAGATCTAAAACAATGAAACCCTCATGCAAAAGACGTAGATAATCGGCAAGTTCTTTGCACAAAGCCGCAACAACATTGACTGACAAGCAACTGTCGTCATCAAGAATTTCTTGAATACTGCGTTTCGTCCCAACTGGTACAAGTTCACTTATCATCCGCACAGATCTGCTAAATTGCTGATATTCTAAAATGGCGGTGCCAATTTCTGAAAAATACACGTTGTATTGATCTATACATTATTGAATCTTATTTGTGCCGGAAACTCCTGTAAATCACGTCATCTATACAATCATTATATGTTTACTGGTTCTCTGCATTTCAAACAGTTTGAACAACAGTCTATATGGTGCTCCTTAGATCAGATTAAATGGTAACAGTCCTACATCCTACATCGCTCCTTATCAGCTGTCTAAACCGTTTAACTTTATTTTACATATTGTCTTGATATTACGTAGCATATATGTAACTTTAAAAAAATCTTACCAGAAAATAACAATTAAAGAATTATAGAAGTGAATCTGATTACAGGTAAGTATTTACCTTTCTGGACCGCTGTTCGACTCTGCTCATCAAGACTTGGATTGAAACTCTAAAATACAAAGTGAAGAATACTGTTGCTTAACTGCAAAAAACATTACACTTTTAACGCCCATACTCCGTTACAACGGTACAACTATCACTATTTATAATTTTATATTTAAAGTCATAAACTTCAATACTGATATATTGAATTACAATAATCGAATAATTATACATTAGTTTGGGAAAATGATCGGTCAGAATTTAAAAAGGTCGCATAAGACAAAAGTCGCTAATACACGTGGTCGCATTGGCAAGTTAGACTGTATTAAATTAGAGATATAGTAAATAACAGGTATAATTAATACTGGAGTTTAGCAAAAGTATTACAGATTTAACCAAATTTATTCGACCTAGGTATTATATCAATACATGTATTTATTTCGGCATTTTAATTTCATGTATTGCAGCACACTAAGTACCGTGTTACGTTATATACTGTACAAGGTGCTTGAATAATTAAATTATTAAACTGTTTTGATTTATGTGACACTTTTTCCAACATAACTTATTAGCTTATTAATTCACAAATACTGTATTGCTTTTTTTCAAATACCCGTGCCGCTTTTGCGACTACTCAAACACGGTATTACACGATCGTGTATATATTTTGACGTGACATCATTTATATTACAATACATTGCTTTACACGTGCAATATGATAGCGTTAAACTTTAGGCGCGTCAATGAAAAGTTTTCCGTTTTAATTTAAACAGTCTGTATTTTAAATATGGGATAACATATTATACTTGTGTAGGCTCATTACTGATTTTATTGACTCGTTTAATAAACAAGAAAAATATTACATACATTCGTATGTAATATAGGTACGATTGCATACTACTTTTTGTTGTAATGTAAAATGAACAAACATGTCATGAGATATTTTCATGGAATGTACTTAATGTATCACCATATTAAAGTTGCATGCCTTCAGATGAGAAAAAATGATTTCAAGGAAATCAAAATATGAAAAGAAAATCCACGGTCAATTGACTGCTTTGAAGCATAATTACAAAATAAAATTACAGGAAATTAAAAACCTTTTTAATACCAATAAGGTAGAATTTCATTGTAAATCATAGTCAAAGATTTGAGATATGATTATTTATTCATATTAACCTCATTATTGGTTATATATTGATAAAAAAAACCGAAAGACACAGTTTGTAAATATTTATTACAATAAAATATGAAAAAGGTATACGCGCAGAGGTTAGCTATAATTAAAATTCCCGCGCTAAGTCGCGGTGGTGCTTGGGATAATCACTTGATACTGTAAATGGCAGCCATTTTACGATACGAATCCTCGAAAACTTTATTCTGCCGAAAAGATATGAAAAAATACTTGCAATTCAAAGTTTGCTGGCTACATAAAGATTATCGATTTACTCTTTGCACACTTTTTCTCTGCCTGAGTATAATAATATTGACGTGTTTTCATTGGCTTAAACCATCACGTTACCAATACACATGTAGGTGTGAACTAATTTCGTGTTCATTAAAATTATTCCATTAATAGACATAGAACAATCTTATTTACAAATGAATTGATAAAACAACAATCCCAGAAGCATTTAAGATAATAACAATCATTGGAAAAAAATAAATGCATACAAATTGTAAATTTGTGTATGACAACTCACCCCCTAAACAAAACATAATAGACTCAACCAAAACAAGCGCCTGCTTCTTCACCTAACTATGTAGTTGCATGACCATGATTAGCAATTTAGCGAACCAAATCTAAGAGATAAACCTATTGTAAAAATAATACTATGACCACAGCAGATTTCTTACAGAAAAAATATTATACTCCTAAGAGGCATATTAAATTACCGTCATAATGAATATCTTACATCAAGAATAGATAATGAAAATCTTACAATCGGCTGTCGGAACATACGGAATATTTAACTCGAGGATACCTGTTTACGCGGTAACGAGGCTTGGTTTCCGCTGAACAATTATTACTCGAGATCAAAATATTCCCATCCGTTACGAAAGCCGGTGTTTGATTATTTGTCTTGCTTATTTGATACAAATTATTTTTCGAAAAGAAAACTAACAAAAGCTAATATTTTCATTTAGCCATTTTTCGGAGAGAAGCGGGTGAACTTTATTCAGACGGCAATATGACGCCATGCAAATAACGCAATTTATTCATACATGACGTTCGGGATACGTCATTTCAAACATGCGACTTGTCTTACATGGGAAAGGGTGTAAGACAAGCGGTTTTCTAGCACAGGTTTAAATAGTTGACAATCCTTTTTGATATGCAAGAAATCAAATAAGAGACAAAAGTATAATTATGTCTCCAGGAAAGCAACCCATTGTTTTACCTTTTTCCCGATTATTGCTGTCACTGTATACAAAAACGGGTTGAGAGCAGAGTTTATTGGTAAAATGAAAACGACTGACCATGCATAAACATCACTTGGAATTGGAAATCCGTTCAAGGCTAAAATACCTGAAAAAGGGAATAGCTGTACTTTTGACATTGCAATATTAGATTCAACAGCGCACTTATTGTTTTTATTAGTTCTTATAAAAAGAATATATAAACCATTTACATGTATATATTTCGAAAATAAACTTGTACTTGAAAATTGAAAAGTTACATCCTAACGAATAAAAAGAAAAAGATAATGCTTTTACATAAGGTGCTACATATAAATCGTGCAATATCGTTGAAGTAAGACGTGTGTAATCCAGTTTAATTAATAAATTGTAATGCAGACAATACAAACACATATACCATATGTATGCGAGATCTTACCCATCACACCTATCGGAAACCAACACAGGAAATCAGTTGTTGCAACGAGTATAAGATTTCTAGCAACTTTCAAGTCACGTCTTCTTGATATTTGTGTCTTCTTCATAACTGATGTTGATCGTCGAAGTTCTGTGAATATTGAGATTTGTCCTATAGCAACAAGAATGAAAGTACATAAATTCAGGCCGACAAAAATGGATACAGAATAAATCCACCCTGGAGGTTTATCTCGTGTTAAAGGCAATGCAATACAAACTCCTGTTCTAGAGTAAAATTCGTTTTGGAAGTGACTTGTGTAAAGAATTGGAATGACCGATAGGATGATTGAAATGAACCAGCACACTCCACAAGAGATATAGGCCTTCATAGGTCCAAACCTCACTGTACCAAACGGAAACTTGATCACTAAAAGTCTATCTAATGTTATCAAGCAAAGAAAGAGGACACTGGCTTCAGATGAAATTGTAGACAAAACTCCGGCAGTAATACACCAATTACTGTTTCTCCATTGATCGTCCACAAAGATATATCTGAAAAAGAAATGGGAATAAATTATTAGAATTTAAGATTTTTTTGTTCTATTATGTACCAATAGGTTCTGATGTGTGAGAAATAAATGTACATTTGTAAATAACAATTACGGAATTATTGACCTAATTTAACTGTTTAAATACTTCTTTGAAAAAAAGGATACTTCGATCAAATCATGTATGAACGATTTATATTTTATATCGACTCGTTGTGTGATAAATGATATAAAAGTTTATTGTTATGAATAAAGCATAAAGAAACATGTAGCTTTATTTAGTCGTAAAATGTATACAGCTACAACTATGAAGCCAATGTAAAGTGTACATGTACCATATCTTCGTTTGTTTGGTATAATTAACTCGTGTATTTGTAGAAATTGTATCTCAATCATAAATGATGATTAATAACTGTTCACTGCAACATGTCTCGGCAGTTTTGTTAATATCTATTTAGGACTGAGTACCTGTTGCTATTAAGAGAAAATTAATTTGACTTTGTTTTTAAATTTAATCAGTTAAAATGTTGTTTCTGAACGGAGAAACAGTCAGTATCTGTTTCTGTAAAGTGAAGGGTCTTTACCAACTGCTGTTACAATATCTAGCTCGAGGCTCTGTCGAATTTCCACCGAGAACTAGATATTCCCGATTGTAACGACAGTCGGTGTTTGATTCATTTTCTTGCATATTACAAATCAATGATATTTCGAAAAGAAATTGTGAAAACTAATATTTCCATTTAGCACTTTTTTCTAATTTTGTGTGTTTGTTTGATTGGGGTTTACGTCACACCGATACAGTATAGGTCATATGGCGACGTTCCAGCTTTACTGGTGGATTAAGACCTCAGTGTATTATTTCAGGCACGAACGGGCACCTAAGTTGAAAAACCGACGTTCCGTAAGCTAGTTTGATAGCTTCCTCCCATGAAAAGTCCAAAGTCCCTCAGGATTCGAACCTACAGCAGTGAGGGGGGCAAGTGGTTTGAAGTCAACGACCTTAACCACTAATCCACGTTTGTTTTCCTAATAGTTGCACGGGGGAGGAAGTGTTACACGAAGGATGGAGTTCTTATGATAACCTGTTCAGGAGTTCTTGTGATAACTGTCACGGAGTTCGTCGGAAAACATCTGTATATACTACAAAAACACTCGTTAAAAATGGTTATTTTCATCATTCCAAAATGAGTTTAAGGTGTTAAATTAAACTTTAATGATTAAGCTTGCCTTACATCTTGTATTATGTGGCAAAAACTAATTAACAGGCTGTTTTTCATCGCCTCTTGCTTCAAATCTGGTAGTTTTGAGTAAAATTTCCAAATTATTTGCCAATTCACAAGTATTGACCTGTTTATTTCTGGTTTTCATCCTTGCCATACATAATTACCTAATTATAATGCAAAATTGCAAACATAAAGCACCGGCTAACAGATTTATACTTGATTTTTTCAAATGTCCCGGAGTTCTTGTGATAACTTTTATTATTGCCAGTGTGTTTCTTGCGCTAAATCACGGCACGTTTTATTGTATTTTATTATTCAATGAGATTGTAAATCATTATGAAATGTAGTACGCCCATACTTTGCGCAAAAAAATTAGGATATATAATGTTGGTTTTGAGTGAATTTTAGTTCAAGAGATATAATTTCTTACCCCCGATTCTTTTTCATAGTATATTTTTTTGACGCAGATTTCGTAGACTGGAAAAAGGATTTATGTACTGTTTTCCTAGCAGTTTCCGGCCCCTAGCAGTTTTCTGGCCCTTTATCATTTTCATCCAGGCATACAGAATATTTTTTCTCAGTTAAGCATCTATGTTACTGCATTAATCAGAGAAACATTTGTTTTCTATGTAAATCAGTTATAATAGTACAGCGATTAATATGTTTCAAAGTTACATTAGAGAACTTGCGACACTTACAAGCAACACCTGGGGAATTCTAGTTTCAATGCCCATGCACAATAACTGAAATCCCATTTTAGGTAAGTCTGGAACCTGGAGGGACAGTTCAAATTTTTTCGAGAGATCGCTAGTTAGAGTCAACCGCAGTTGAGTTTTATCATGTATCGTACTTTGTTAAGACATAGGTGTGGACATTATCCTGGTTATATACTTATTTATTATGGTATAAAACAATACAAATTACTTAGCCCTTAGGTAAGGGAATCATTCCTATATATTGTCTGCTTAAGAAATGTGGTTGCTTATAATAAACATATGAAACTGAAAACAACGTGAATGTTTTGAGACATTTTTGTTTTGTGGTTTAATCCATTATACTGCTGAATATCAGTGACGGCTGGTTCAATTTTTACTGTAGATGATAGCCTATCACCTATTTATCCTTTGCAGACAGTTAAGACCAACGTTTTATCCACATTTATGTGCAAAGGATGATCGAACTGCATTTCATAATGATTTACAATCTTATTGAATGATAAAACATGTCAAAACATGCCGTGATTTAGCGCAAGAAACACACTCTCAATAATAAAAGTTATCATAAGAACTCTGTGACACTTCAGAGTTATCACAAGAACTCTGGGACATTTGAAAAATCGGGTATAAATCTGTTAGCCGGTGCTTTATGTTTGCATTATAATTAGGTAATTATGTATGACAAGGATGAAGACCAGAAATAAACAGGTCAAAACTTGTGAATTGGCAAGTAATTTGGAATTTTACTCAAAACTACTAGATTTGAAGCAAGAGGCGATGAAAAACAGCCTGTTAATTAGTTTTTGACACATAATACAAGATGTAAGACAAGCTTAATCATTAAAGTTTAATTTAACACCTTAAACTCATTTTGGAAAGATGTAAATAACCATTTTGAACGAGTGTTTTTGTAGTATATACAGATGTTTTCCGACGAACTCCGTGACAGTTATCACAAGAACTCCTGAACAAGTTATCATAAGAACTCCATCCTTCGTGTAACACTTCCTCCCCCGTGAGTAGCAAAGTATGAATTAAAACTTATTCATATCAGCACAATGATGTCATGTTAAGAATGCATTTGATTGATAAAAGGTGCGTGAGAATGACGTCATATAAAACACGCAGGTTGTCTTACATGGGTTGTATGACAGATTTTTCTAGCACCGGTGTAAACAATAGATAAACTTCTTCATATCACCACAATGCCGTCATGCTAAGAACGCAAATGATTGATATAAGGAGCATGAGAATTACGTCATATATGACACGTAGGTTGACTTACACGGGATGTATGACAGATTTTTCTAGTACCGGTGTAAACAATAGATAAACTTATTCATATCAATAAAATAACGTCATGCTTAGAATGCAATTGATTGATAAAAGGTGCGTGAGAATGACGTCATATAAGACACGCAGGTTGGCTAAATTGGGGTGTATGACAGATTTTTCTGATAATCCTTTCTGATATGCAAGAACGATAAATCAGCACTTGTTACTGCGTTGTTACTGAGGAAACAGTTATAAATCAGTACCTGTTTTTGTATAGTGAACCAGTCATTTATCAATACCTGTTGCTATAGAGTGAATCAGCAATTGCTATCATGATGAGGTAAACGCTTATTAGGAATTCTGTAAATACAGGGTTAGTTACAAATATGCCATTACATATATTTAGCCTTTCACGGTAGTATACGAGATCAATACCTTTTTTGTATAGTGAGTTAGTCCTATATTAATACCTGTTTCTATAGAGTGAATCAGCAACTGCTATCATGATGAGGTAAACACCCATCAGGAAATCTGCAACTGCTAGGTTTGTTACAAATATGCCATAACCTATTTTTAGCCTTTCACGATCGTACACGAGACGGTAGATAATTGACGATACGTTCCCGAGCAATGAAGCTACCCCAACTATCCAAAGGACAGCTTGAAGTACACAGTTTCTCATCAGGTCTTTACATGAAGAAAATTCATTCTTCAATGGTTTGCAATCTTCTTCACGAACATAATAAGGCCGGATACAGCAGAATTTAAATGCAGGTGTATGAAGCTCCCGAAGTGAGTTTACGCCGTTAAACATATATTCTCCGAATTTTATAACTTTATTGCCTTCAAAGTTAATTTTATGAACTAGCGTATTGTTAAAGGCAAAATCTTCAATTTCCTCAATTCTGTTGTACGAAATATCGATACTGTCCAACTGCAAGCCAGAGAATGTAAGTGAACTAATCTTTTTCAGGTTTGTGCCGGATATTTTTAAGCTTCTTACTGCTTCCAAACCTTTAAAAGCAGTCGATGAAATCACTGTTAATTCTATATTTCTGTCCAGATTCAAATAAGTCAGATGGCGAAGCTTGCTAAATACCATATCAGGTAATTGCTGTATTCTATTGTTGCTAAGATCTAATGATAACAAATTTTTCAAGTCAAAGAAAGCCCTTTCATCAATATAATGAATACTACATGATGAAATATTTAGTCGTAACATGTAAGGAAATTTTAAATTGTGTTTAGGTATTTCTTTAACTTGTGGATTTATACTTAGATCAAGACTTCTAGCCTGTGTAGTCAATGATAAAATATCAGACATTGATATATTGGTTGCCTTACAATTGATAACATCATCGGTACAATTACATTTCTCTGGACATACAGAATTACAAAGTCGTTCATCATCACAATTTCTGCAATGAATGACATCATCACATACTTGTTCAAATGGTATACATTGCTTACTAGACAAACATCTGTACTTCCCAGCACATGGTACGATTGTAGCCTCTGAAACAGACATATTAAGAAAATATATTTTTACACGAGTTTTAAAACAAATAGTCATCAAAGACTATCGCTGTTATCATGCTTATATCATAGTTTCTTGGTTTTCCTTAGTTGTTAAATTTATGATATGGTCCACAGACATTTGGGGTTTGGAGCTCAAAACGCCTTTAAAATCCAAATAAAATGCATATTTGTCAATCCCAGCACATGTACTGATCATTTATATCAAAAAAACTTAATATAAGCCGTTTTGAAAAAATTTCATATTTCAACATCTATAATAATACACAAGATAAAAATGTTCGCCGGAAAAAATTCGCACCCCTACCGTCATAATCACCATGTATTTTATTCCATTTCCAATATTTTCACATAATCCTTTGGTCCATCGACACAGAAGATATAATTCTTCACGATAATGGTCAATTTTAAACTTCAACGGTAATATAAACAACGCAACAGCCGAAATAAACATCAATATTATCGCCGTTTTTTTCCAACGACAAAATGTTTCGATAAATTCAATGGACCAGACGGCTATGAACGAAGCTATCCGATTATGTGGCCCCAGCTTTGCCGTGTGCAAAATGCGCAGCGCTTTTAAGTTTGGGAACCACATAATCGGATAGCTTCGTTCATAGCCGTCTGGTCCATTGAATTTATCGAAAGATTTTGTCGTTGGAAAAAAACGGCGATAATATTGATGTTTATTTCGGCTGTTGCGTTGTTTATATTACCGTTGAAGTTTAAAATTGACCATTATCGTGAAGAATTATATCTTCTGTGTCGATGGACCAAAGGATTATGTGAAAATATTAGAAATGGAATAAAATACATGGTGATTATGACGGTAGGGGTGCAGATTTTTTCCGGCGAACATTTTTATCTTGTGTATTATTATAGATGTTGAAATATGAAATTTTTCAAAACGGCTTTTATTAAGTTGTTTGATATATATGATCAGTACATGTGCTGGGATTGACAAATATGCATTTTATTTGGATTTTAAAGGCGTTTTGAGCTCCAAACCCCAAATGTCTGTGATATGGTCAGGTATTACCGATGTAATCATTTAATAAAGTTAAATTTGAAATATAAAATAAAGCGGGCGGAGTCAAAACTCATATTTATTTTATGGTACTTCTTTGGCCATTTTGTTTGAAAAAAATCTGATTAATAAAAAACATTTTTTTTGTTGAATTTTGTTTTGAAAACTATCATGAATTATAGAAAATGGTCTAAAAATGAAAATAAGTTCGAACACCAACATATCTATTTCTGTCATTAACGCTGTACAGACTTTTTAAAGTGTTGTTTACGTGACGTCACAATGTAGAGCCAAACAGCGCATGCACGAACAGTCAATGCAAGACTGTTATTTCAATGACGCAAACTTAATAAATTTCACATTTTTTCATCATAAATACTCAATATTTTGCTTAAATAATATAAAATAAATACAAACCATTTTATGTGTATTGAAACCGCGTCACGCATCTATGAATACATGAATCAATATATTACTGCGCGCTGTACACTTGCAGTTGCGTAGCAGGCAAGGGGATTCGTAGCTATTTTTCATTGATGATGACATTAAATAAAAAGGTTATTGTTTCGCTTTTCGTGACTTATAGTATATATTTTCACTCATACTCGACTCGTAAAAAGTGGCATTTTGTCATGTTCTGTGAAAATATATTCCATATTTCACTCCAACGAAAAAATATCCTCTTAATATTTAAAATGAACGAAATAATCACCTTTCAAAATCTAAAACGGTGTAATATTTTATATAATTTAACTAATATGTGTAGGCAAATGAGTCAAGCTGAAAATTCTATTACCTGTACATATTTCCGGAAATCGTCTGAATCCAATCGAAAAAAGAGAACTCCATTTGCTGATGTGTATATCTTTTACAAATTTGTATCTGTTATCTTTGTAAAGTGAAGAACTAAAATCTTTTATCAACCGATAGATTGAAAACGATGGCTCTGAAATATTGGACAATGCTAAGCTAGCGACAACTGATGATTCAATACTGTTTTCCAATACAATAATTGCTCTTTTTTCTGGCTTCGAAAACTGCAGTTTTTTAAGAACGTCTCTTGCCATGGTTTTAAACTCGCATCCAGTTTCCTTAGTTTCCTGTTCTCCGTTAACACGTTCTATGTTTATTTCTAATAGCCTGTAATCTATGTCAAACTTCAATTCTCTATGCAGAATCTTAAAATAAAACAATCTTACGATGTTATTGTTACTGTTTGCGAAAAATTGTTTAGCTAAATGCGTTGCTGCTTCTCTGCTCTCAGAGTCATCATTTTCTACAAATATGATTACGTCTCTATCCGAGTCTCCACAAGCTGAAATTATAATTAAAATCTACACTGTATTTCGGTCGTAAAAATATTTTTCTTTTGTAATCTTGACCTAAGAGTTTTTTCCTATCAGCCATTAAACCCTGTTTAAATATTAACAATGTTGCTATTTGACAAACACGTCATAACAAAGACTCTGAGCTAGTTACACATACACTTGAACTAAATAATTTGCTGATTTTTTTTTCCGATACTGTGTACGACGATTTTGAGAACAGAAGAGTCAGATCTATTCTTTTACAATTAGTAATAATATCTAAGCAACAATGTATCGATTGATGCACAATGTTTAAATGAAGCATAAAATCCATGACCTTCAATATCTTATTTAACTCCGATATTAACTCGTCAACATTAGATTTCATGAAACAGAAATTAAAGTGAACCAAAAACTGAAAATGTCACATTTGATATGCATATAGTAAACAATAATACTAATTGAGATCACATATTCTATTAACTTTCTGAATGCATTTGAAATTAACACAGATTCACGAAAAAAACGGGTCAGTTGTTACCCGGCTGGACGATTCATTACAAACTTCATTTTTTGTACTTCTGACTAATTGTTGCTGCCAATATATGACCCTTACTACAAGCTTCGAAATTTTCTATTTCTTGTTTCAATAGATCCAAGTGTTTTAACGCGAAGTTCCTAAATACACCTTGTCAACATTATATAACATACATGCACATGATGTATGTAGTTGTGTGTAGTAAATCGTGCGATCTGTCCTGACTTAATTATTTATCAAGTTGTTGCACTCTCCATACATATCAATACAATTAAAACAAGCAATTCGATTTGTTTTAATCATTTCATATTGTAGACTGAAAAGTTAGGTTTGTTTTTTCTCTCTTTTTCGCAAATATATGAATCTGTTAACAATCTCTGAAAAGGGTAGACAATTGATTAAGACGGACTTATGCCATATTTGAAGTTAGAGCAGCAAAGTAGTGTTTAAAGTTAAGATAGTCATGAAAGAAGTATTTGATTGAGTTGTTGAGTTATTGGTCGGAAACTGTTATGATATAAAAAGTCATTGTGACTTTGACCTTCAACCTTTCACTTAATAATCAATTGGAGTCATCTAATTGTCAAGAGTTGTGAAGCTATAAGGCAAAGGGCCAAAGGTTGTCGTGTTATTGGATATAAACCGTTTCACATACAATATGAATATGACCTTGACCTTTGATCCCATGACCTCAATCAATTAGGTTAATGAACTAGCCAGAACAATGCAACTGTAAAATTTGAGGGCGAAAGGTACCCAGGTTGTTAAATTATCGATTGATAAACGTATTTATAGACTATAGATAGGTGAATGTGACCTCGACCTGTGATCAATTGAATCTAAAATAATAAGTTCTTCTGACTTCAAAGACCCATGTACCTGACACATTTGAGGGAAAATGACCAAAAGGCTGCTGTGCTTTTGGTAGTAAAAGGGTTTGTTGTAAAATATCCATATGACCTTTGGCCAGTAACCTCGTAACCCAAAAATCAATACGGATCATCTGCTTGCCAAGATCATAATATTTCTTTAACTTCCAAAGACCATCTATTTATAGTTATACCATTAACATAACAATTTAAAAAAAACCATCAAATTAAAAATTATGATTAATCTTCAATAATTTTTCATTTTTTAATTTTTTTTCTATAGACATACAAAGAAAACCATCCTAGCTCACAATAAGCAATCGCATTTACAGTGTGATGTCGGATATGTAATGTTTGCTTTCAAAACGTATTACGTATGTATAAATCTGAAAATTTTTTGAAATCATCAAATGTCAGAGGCAAAATTTTAGATTGGTAATACCATAGCATCAAACAATTAGATCCTTTCAGACATATCCATTGGCACTTTATAAATTTGAAACAGAGCATTTAGTGAATATAGCGGGTTGTCTGACTGCTTTGATGACACTTTCTGTGCTGTGGTATTTCTCAGTTCATTGAGAATGAGCCTAAGCGTCTTCAGTTTGAGAAAAATATTTCTTAAATTGCAAAACTGTGAAGTATAAAAGCTGGTGTAAGTTAACATCTTTAGGAACATTATATTAATTATAAGAAAATTTCGATTCGGAAGGGGCCTTTTTCATACAATTGAATGAAGTGAAAAATCACTGCTGTGTAAGATAAAACGTTTCATTTGGAAACAAAGAAACCCTAAAATATGTAAATAATTATATTCAATCTGTCAGTACTATAGAATCAAATTTTCATTCCTTTTACCTTTTTTGCAAAACATTATTATTGTTTTTTTTGTGTTAACCATAATACACTACTGGGCAAAGTGGAGAAGAGAAATAATAGAGATAATAATGGCTCTTCCTGCTTTATACCAAATGATTTCGAATAATTAGATAAACAGCCATTTTCTTTGACACATGATTTTACTTGCTCATACAAGACAAAATCGACAATAGCTATTTATCTATTAACATTTTATCTTTTCATAATACAATAATATCTTACTTAATATATAACGTTTATTAAACAAAATTCCAACCAACAGTGCGTTTTCATTTAATAAACCAAATTGTCATTCGTCTGATACATTTACAATTTATTTGCGACAAATGTTTTATCTAAAAATATTAAAATCATTTTTTAAAAGACAATGTTTGTAAGAGTAATACCTCTATAATAAATACTTCTATAATAAACAACAATAATAAGGTCATGTGGTACATGTACCACAATACCTTTAGTCCAACTTTCTGGATATATCGGTTTCAATACATGTTGTTAAAAAGTTCACTTAATAGATGAAAAAATATGTTAATAATCTATAATAGTTCATGTGTAAGTAAATTACTTCCATTTTTTGTCTTTTACTCAGCGAGAAAAATAGCACTTTCAATTTCTTCATTTTCAAAATTATTAAAGAATGCATTATATATCTTTTGACAACACTAAGCTACTTAATTATGTTACGTCATTCACTGTTTTGTCATCGTTGTCTAATAAAACAATATCAGAAGATCTAGAAAGCATTGTAAAATTAAGTACTTAAAACACTTTACGTTGTAATTTCTATATTTGATGCTATTGCTCTTATTATTAGTGAAGAATAAAATAATTGATATGTTTTTTCGACCCTTTCACATAGCTTAAAGTTATGGGGCTTCGATATATTTCTGCGGTCCTGACTAAAGGATCTTATTGAATTTGGACGTTGTTATTGTGCCTGATTGGTGTCATTCATGTTTTTGCCCCGCGAGCCCGCCAAGCAAAAAATCTAGGACTAGCAAAATAAAATGGCGGTCGAAAACACGCCTTTTTAAGCGAGAACGCGGGGCAGAGTTAATTAAGTCAAACGGGGCGCGAACCGAGATTTCAGAAAGAAAGCGGCGGGGCTTATTAGCGGGGGCGCGGGGCGAAATTGAAGAGATAAAATTAAATAAATAGAACTTTGTTCCGTGATCCCGCTAATTAGCGTGTTTTTGCTGTCAATTCTCGACTTTTCGCGTGGCGGGGTCGCGGGGCGAAGTTTTATTTATACATGTATAATTATTGAAAAACAGAAACATTTTTACTTACACTTATCCCTAGATATAGAGGTGGAATACCAACGTTAATTGAAAATATCTGGAATTTTAAAATGATATAATTTGCCTGTTTAACTTAACTACTTTTTAACTCATTGTTTTCAATTTTAGAATACAAAGTACTTAGATCCAAACATAATAAAGTAAATTGTCACATAAACCGCAACGTAGGTGTTTAATAAAGCCATGTAGTAATCAAAACGATATAACTCTTGTGTAATAACACTTTTATGTGATGACATTTGCGTTGTATACATACGAAATATCATGTTGTACTAGCTTTCTGGGGCTTTGTATTTAACTACGAGCAGCGATGGAAAATTGATATCTCGCAAGACCGAAGGTCGAGCGAGAATTTATTGTCCAACGTTGCGAGTAGAAAAATATAAAAATCTACGACATCATAATTTTTGGCCGGGTTGCACAGGTGCAAACCCTGGTTATAGTATTGTGAATGTTGGTCGGCGGGCGGTCGGGTTAACGGGCGGCGAGCGGTCGGGGAAAAACGTTTCGTAACAGTTATCTCAGCAGCTTCTTATCACAGCCTCTTGATATTTGGCATACAGCATTAACATGTAGTCCCATACTGTGGGATTCGATTTCAGGTCTGTCGCTTATCCACTTCCTGTTTGCAGACTTAGTTTAATTTTTAACATTAATGGTCAATGGTAGGAAATTTTCGTTAGAGTTTTCTCAGCAACTACTTATCACGGCCTTTTGATATTTGGTATACAGTATCAACACACGGTCTCATATCATGGGATTGGATTTCGGGTCTGTCGCTTATTGACTTCCTGTTTGGCGACTTACTTAAATTTTCAACATTAATGGTCAATAGTATGAAATGTTCGTAACAGTTTTCTCAGCAACTACTTATCACAGCATTTTTGATATTTGATATACAGCATAACCATGTAGTCCCATACCGTGGGAATGGATTTCAGGTCTGTTGCTTTTCCACTTCCTATTTGCCGACTTAGTTAAATTTTCGACATTAATGGTCAATGGTAGAACCTTTTCGTAACAGTTTTCTCAGCAACTACTCATCACAGCCTTTTAATATTTGATATACAGCATTACCATGTTATCCCATACCGTGGGATTGGATTTCAGGTCTGTTGCGTTTTCAATTCCTGTTTGCCGACTTAGTTAAATTTTCGACATTAATGGTCAATGGTAGGAAATTTAAAGCATCAATTTGTTAAAAAAATTTTTTTAAAAAAAGGTTTTTTCCGGGGGAAACCTCTTTCCCAAAAGCCCTTGATATTGGTTTTTACAGGGATTGGGGCATTTGGTACCAAAATTGTTTGATTTTTTATTTTAAGGGGCGGGTGCTCAACCCCAAATTTTTCGGTTTAACCCACTTTTAAATTAAAAATTTTTAAAAAATTTTTTTAAAGGTTTTAGGTTAAGGAAAAAATTTT